ATGGTACAGTTACAAGTCATTTAAAGGGGTCATATGATGCTATTTTAAAGACTTCCCACATAGTGATGTAGATATGTGGGGGCGTGTTAGAACGAGCCGTTTTAGGTAGGCGTGGTTGACTCTTAACTTTTATAAAGAATATCTCTTTGGATTTGAGACTTTAGTCTTTGCAACTTTACAGATCTTCTTTATGCACCAAAAGCTTGTAACACTCCAAAGAGAACGGAAAACTTGAAATCGCATCATATGACCCGTTTAAACTTCAAACACTGTATATTGGTGTGCTATCCACTAGAGGCAGTACATCCTGTTTTGATGTCAAAGGAAATAGCATAGGAACGCATATTGCTTTATTTTAGTCATTATAAATGATGATCATATCATGAGGTATGTGTAATGCTTAAATACGCTCAAGATCTTCTCACACTGATCCAAGTGTTTGTGTTGTAGATCAGACATCAGAACAGAAAATCATGTCAGAATATACACAGATAGGCTACTGCATTCAGATGGGAGATCTGCCACAGCTCAGTAAACAGTTCATCTGAACACGACTGATAATTCTTTCTTTCTTTCTTTCTTTATATATAACAGTTATTCATTCAGAACTACACTGGTTCTGTTGAATGATTTTGACTGACTGAGAAGAGCCTCTAATAAGAGTCATTCTTTCGGGAATCGGATCACATTGGTTGCGCTGAATGTTTTTGTTTTTGATTCACTGAAAACAACGCCTCATAAGAATAATTCCTTCAGGAGTCGGACAACACCGGTGCATTGTATTATTATTATTTTTTTATTTACAGAAAAGAACAGAATCATACGAGTCCTTCGTTCGGGAATCAGATTGCACTGGTTTCGCTGAATGGTTTTGATTCACTGAAAAGAACCGGCTTGTAAGAATCATTCACATGTTGAGTGCACTGGTCCCGCTGTGGATTCAGTAGGTGAGTTGCGACGCCCTTGAACAAAATTATTGCGGGTTACTCGGGAGACTGTCACAAACTAGTCGTTAATTGTGAATCCGGTTCTCGGTTTTAGACACTGCACTGGTTTCGCTGAATGGTTTTGATTCACTGAAAAGAACCGGCTTGTAAGAATCATTCACATGTTGAGTGCACTGGTCCCGCTGTGGATTCAGTAGTTGAGTTGCGACGCCCTTGAACAAAATTATTGCGGGTTACTCGGGAGACTGTCACAAACTAGTCGTTAATTCTGAATCCGGTTCTCGGTTTTAGACACTATATTTTTACAGTAGCCTATAGTTACTGATTAGTTTGTGAAATGTGTGTTTCTCTCTGTCTCTACAGAAATCACTGTTGGATGTGGGCAGAACCGAGACAGCTGTGAAATATCAACACTCAAAACTCAAAAGGCAGATTTCAGGAGAATATCACGCAGACCCAGAGTTCCTGTGTAGGAGTTACTGAATTCAATTAGATTGTGTATTATATACTTAATAATATATACATGTTAATTTGTATTACTGGGCCTACATATTAAATGTTGACTGTTATTGCGAAATACTTTTTTATCTGTTACCTAAAAAGATTTGCAGCAGTCTTTTACTTTTTCACTTGGATGTCTAATAAAGCAAATTTCATCTTGTGCATCCATGTAATGTTTAGAGTTAAACAAACATCACCAGAGGGGGGCTAGACAGTATTTAAAGCATCTTATATACAACATACCAATTATTTCCGTAATGGGCCTATGATAAATTTATGTGATTATCAAAGACATCCAACTAGTGCATATTCATATAGAAAAATAATTAAAACCATGCTGATGGACGCAAGACCTGTATGAACGCCCCTAATGGTCTTCAGAGAGTTATGCTTCATTCACTGCCTTCACAAAACGACTATTGTACTTCATTGTTTTTATGCTGCAGTTTCACATTATATAAAGCAGATGTTGTGTGTAGTTGCAGAGAAATAACAGCCCCCCATCACACCATTTGTTTGTGCAGCCCTATAAAGATCATTTAGTGCAGCTGTCATCCACTGTGACCATTGCACCACCTTGCAGCTACTTGTTGCTGAGAGGAAAAACAAAACATCAGATGTCAGTTTCCGCTCTTCTGTAATTAAGGTCGACGCATTGCTCTAAGCTGCCATTATACCGTAGGAAATCCAAACAAAGACTGGGCATTTTCAGAGTGTTGACAGGAAGTGACTTGTGGTTAAAAGTGAGTCAGTCACATGTAGTTATGTGACATTATGAAACAGTAATCAAGAGTTTATCATTTTTTACTCTGGAATAAGGCTCATATTAAAGACTAAAGCTCAAGACAAAAATAATTAAGATTAAAATTGTAAGAAGCTTTCTGTATGTTTATTTTATGGAAAGTAATAAAGTCCTTTATTAATCAATAACACGATTGAAGCATCTTTAGCTAGTCTAGATGAAGAGCATTAGTGAACCACAGAAACAGAAATTGAACCATTTTTGCAGATTAGGTCCAATAAATTGACTTTTTAGGAGTATGTTTTGAGTGATATATAGTATGCTGTATTTCAAAAGATCAAGGGGAAATTAGATTTTTCATAATTTGGCCACTTTAATATTCACACCAATTACAAATTCAGGCTTTAGTGTTGCAGAAAATGAGAAAATAAAATGGTATAAAACAATAAAAGTAAATGCAAAGTATTACAGATATAGATATATATATATATAATTCTGTCTGTTACCACAAAGTCTTTCTTATTTCTGTTCATATTTCTGTTTTCTGCACAAGGCCTTGCTTTTTTAATGCACAGAACAAATGCTTCATGCACTGTGACATATAACCTGCTCTGCTCATAATGAGATGCGCTGTCAGATGTGGTACGGCTGTCTATTACTGGAGATATGAGATGCAGTAGGTGTGCAGAACATGCTGTGGAAACAGTGTTTGTGGCCAAAGGGCTGCAGATTAACCTAGGGCCTGTAACAGTGCTGTAGAAAGAAAAAAGTAAATGTGTCACAGTATTACGTAAAACAAAATACACTTCATCACATAAATGTATAAATTCAAATAAAATAAGATGTTCTGATGAACTTTTACCAGAAACTGCCAATAGATGCTGTAAAAATGATTGGCTCTGGACTTGAACAGAAACACACTCACATGTTGAGGAAGTTGCACAGAACTGAGACACACGTGATAGCGGAAAAGCTAGAAGAAAGAAAATATAGTTGACAGAAAAGCTTACATGGACTTGTTGCTCTGAGGAAATAGAAGTCTGCATTGAGGATGGTGGCTGACCTTGACCTTGAGTTCCCATGAGAGAGAACAATGAGTCAACTGAGATTGAATATAGAAACCAGTTGTACAATTCCCACAAAACACCAGGCATGTGTGTAGATTCCTTTGTGTAAATCACAATTGGCAGTATAGAACTGTGAACATAAAGGATGGCATTTAAACAGTTATTTTAATGTGTCATTGAAATTATTTTTGTTAAACACAGGAATAGCACAGACATATTATTCACACACACACATGCACATTTATCACACACACTATTTTCAAGAACATTTCAGGAAATAGTGGCCAACCAAAACCCAAAGTGTCAGAACATCTCTAGATAGTGTGAAATAGTGGTTATAGAAATGAAATGGCATTATCTATTCAATATAACTTTACATAATTTCTGTGCACTGATTTCGAACTGACATCTCGGGTTTATTGATGGTAATTGATGCTTGATCTTAAGGATGAATCTTGAGCTGATACAAACCTACCTTTCCTTTAGACTTTTCAGTCTAAATACAAGTCAACTGACTTTTGGATTTATAGACTCAGCAGCAGCTTTGTAATTAGTTTGGTATGCAAATAATACAACTGGTATTTATATTAGAGATCTAGGAACTCATAAAAAACACTTAAAGGGGTCATATGATGCGATTTCAATTTTTCTTGGTGCGCGGAATCCAGCCCGGGGTCTGTCACATGTGGTTGCCGCTCATTTGCCGGATCCACCGGGCACGCCGTTCTCAGCTCACGCTAAGCCGGGGCTTCCGCTCACGCTAGGCCGCTGTGTTTTTCGTTGTGAAAGCGAAACTACTTTGTTTGGTCTTCCAAAAGAGGCCACGACTACAAATCAGTGGTATTTACAACACTGTTCCAGAACAGTTTAACCCAAATATCCAGATGTGTGCAGCGCATTTTATGGAGGACTGTTTACTGATCCTGGGAGAGTAACGTTAGACTAAAATGCCGGCAGTTCTGACTCACGTAAGTACGTTTTCATTTAAAAGATTTCCCCCTGATGATTCAAACGCGAGTTTTGGGCAGTGTAGAGTAGCACTTGTTGTTTGTAATTTCTCTGATCACAAATGCAGACAGAGTTTTGTTTACGCGGCGCGATGAAATGCAACGCAACGCATAAAAAGTCAGTATAAGTCATTATAATCAGT